AATATATGTATATATATAATTATACTAAATATATGTATATATATATCATTTTAATTCCTGCATAAGTCCCAGCAGAGATATTTACGCTGCATTCTCTGGGCTCACTGGATCATCTGGGGCAGAAGGACTGATGGATGTCTCCGGAGKTTTATACGGGATACAAGATATACATCTTTTTGTTGACGAACCAACCTCAACCACAAACTGGGAGCTTGAGATCATTTCATCCTGTACAACTGCAAGAGCACAAACAAGCAGAACCATTTTGTTTCTTCAACAYTTACATAAATATATTTAAACTGACTTATGAACAAATCTAAATACCGTCACATAGGTTTTCATCGAAGTCTATATTTATTCCACATAGGCCATCTTTACTCAGTCTGAAATTCTCCCCACCTTAAAATACAATAAAAAATATGAGCCTGGTTGTTTCTGCTATGAAATGTGTTGTAAAGTTAGAGATGCAGCAGGCTGGAGAATTTACCTGGCTTCAGACAGTTGTGGAGTTGAAGGATAAGACCTGTTGGAGAATAAAAGATAAATGTTGAATAAAGGAGGAATAATTTACTGCCTGAGAAGTTGAAAGATGTGCACGTTTTTGACCAGTATAGAAAAACCTCTTGTTTCGTTGTTTTAACAAGAGTCATCAGTCATACCTTCTGATCCATAAAAGTTTGACGGCATGCAGGAGAAGTTATAAGTTGCATTCTGCAGCACCACAATGTCATGTTGGGTTAGAGTAGTTTGATTCAGAGTCAAGATGTATGTTTTAGGGATTTTCTGGCTTGGATTTATTGTAGCGCTGCAGCTGAAATCTGTGCCATTACAACAACCTACAATAAATAAATAAATAAATAAATAAATAAATAACAAACCATGAATCAGTCAGACTATTCAGCCAAGACAGAAAGTTTCACAGTTATGCTCAGGAAGCTGATACTAAACCAGATATTACACTTTATTACCTGCATTGCTTTTGTTTGCTGAAATGTTGAAGCAAAGATTAGTTTCATTTTTCTTGTGATAAACTCTATCTGGATAAAAGAAATCACATGAAACTGATTACTATGGAGCTTGTTTATTAATTTATTTTTAATTAAAGATCCTCTTGTTCACACTGAGGGGTCAAACTCACCAGATGGAAAAGTAGTTTGATTAGTAATATTTTCACCGCTAATAAACAACATGTTTTTGATCATAGAGCTTTCATTTTCATCTGTAAAAAGAAAGAAAGAATGAAAGAATCAGAATTTGGTAGAACTACAGACCTGGTTTCAGGAAGCCTTTTGTTACTCACTTGATGTCACAAGAATACAGTTGTGGAGCAAAATCCCAGAGAAGAAAGTAACTGTCTTCAGAAAAAACATCCAGCGAAAGCTTTTGGCCGTCATTCTGAGGAGTTAGAGGGTTTATAGGAACACATTACCCAGCTATAGGCTGAAAAAATAAGTTATTTTTAAAGGTTCTTCCATGTACGACTACTTCCATTTCCTGACGGATAAATTTAGCATTGTCCACCTTTACAGCAGCACTCACTTCAAATAGCATCATTATCTCCGGTCTGATTTAACTTGCAAATTAAGTCTGACTGTGTGATTCACATGAAGCCTGCTTTCTCAGTTAGCAGCTGATAGGGGTGGGGTGTTAGCTATGAATCAAATAAATCATGTTTATCAAAAAAAATTAAATTATATATAGTCATCAAGAATTAAAACTTTTTTCATGTATGCCACAGCAGGGACAGGGCCAACAAAAGACTGGGAGAGTTGAGGAACGCCTGAAAAACAGCTGTTTGGAGCATTCCACATGTGAACATGCTAACTTCTTCATCATTTGCAATACTAATGTTTTCCTCTTATTTGACTGATAGGTGTCAGGTTGTGAAACATGGAAGCTCTGTGTCCGGGTCTCTGCCCTGTTCCGTGAGAGTTCCGCAGGGTAGCATACTGGGCCCATTGCTTTTCCTATTATATATAAATGACCTTCCAAAAATATTGAAGTATTCAAATATTTTAATGTATGCTGATGATACTGTTCTTTAAAAACTTCCTGGTTGGACTCATCACTGTACAGTTTTTTCAT